CATGATCTATCGCCTGTTATCACTGGCAATATCATGGGATTGACGAACAAACGAGTCACCGTTCTATTATTTGGCCATTGTTCCAGTACAGTTCATCACTTATATGAGGGCGCACAACACTAAGAACAACTCAGGAAGGCAAGTAGCTCATTATCCCGTTCGGGGAGCAAAAGGCAGATTTCGAAAGTAGGTTCGAGCTCAGCATCACGAAATGTGTCTGATGGAGTAGGTTTTATCACAAACGGTGACTTTGACCTGAGGGCCATTCCTAGTGAGCAACTATACAACTACTCTTTACTTTCTTTCATTTATGTTAGACTGTTGAGACTTTTCTCGCCTATTCTTCTTGAACTTTTCTCAGATTTTTCTTTCTCAGTACATTCAATAATCAATGAACACATATACATCATTATTATATACAACATGTTGCCACTTATCAGGTAATTTATGGATGGCACTCTATAATTACTGGATTTCGACCGAAAAAATTAACCAAGGCACCTCTCGCCGTCAAGCTATTCCTCCTCAAAATGGTTGGACAAAAAAGATAAAGGATAAAGTCTTCGCCGTTGATAAACCCTTTGTGGGATGCGGCACGCATTCTATTTCTATTCGGAATCGTAGTGGCTTACTGAATGCGATGTGGCCTATACGATGACTTGGGGTGGCCAGCCGATGTACAAGTCAGTGCTACCAAACGAATCTGGTACCAACTTACCGTCCCCGGAGGGTAGAAGGCTTGGTTAGCATGGGTGAGATTCGACCCGGGACTTGAACCCGGCGCCGCGCGAGTGGTAAGCGCGCCACTTGTCAAAACACCACCTCCGCCTCGGTTGGACAATAAAGGAAACATATAGTTGTCTGTTAGGGTCTGCTATTCCGGTGAATAGTGTAGGTAAGCCGGCACGTGCCTCTCAAGTTTTTTTTAAGGTCGCCTTCACACGTGGGGGCGATAGGGCACGCCATCGTTGTGATAATCACAGCGGCGGGGTCGTATTCGACCAAGAGGGGGAGTCGTAAGCGGAAGGCCCATTCTGGAGTGGAGAGAGCAGCGATACTTAGGTGTTGTACAGATTAAATGAAGAGGGAGTTATTCATTAATCTCTTTTGCAAAACACCTAAAGAGACACCTCAAAACAGAAGCAAGCAAGCTCAGAAGTAGGGAACAGGCTGACGGACGGGAAATTTTTTCGAATAACAGGCCTAAGAAAATAAAAGAATCTTTTTGAAAGGTGCTCTTTGTTTCACAAACGGCATTGTATGAAGATTATTATAGCTGTTTACAGCATGAGAACTGGTAAATGATCCTCATATGTCATAACGGGGGTCACAACGGAGAAAGTTTTTCAGAAGGGAGGTTTTTTTTTGAAATCGTTCAAACTCAGCCAATAACTGACAACCCAGTGGTTTACATAACTGTTTTCTCCGCTTTGAAAGCTCCACACTCAAAGATTTGTGGGTGGTGTAGTGAAGGGTACTCCCGGAGTGCTTGGCTTGGAAGCGAATTCGGCCGTGAATGGAACTGAATTCGGCCGTGAAATAGCTCGTTCCAATAGCACGGCACGAAGCGTGCTGCAGCTTCAACCGCAACTAATGACTGCGAACAATTAATATTCAAGTGCTACCACAAGCATTTCCCTTGTTTTCTTTTCTTTTTCTGTGCCTTATTAGGTGTTTGCTCAATCTTTTGCATCCTTTTTCTTGTATGATCTCATTTACTTCGTATTCTTCACAATTTATGCCTTCTTTACCCTCGCGTCTTCCTTTGTCGTTTGTTTTCCAGATCTTCCATTTTTTTTCCAGTGTTTTCCAGTGTCCAGCTGCTGGCAGGTTCATGCTAAATGAGGGCGCCAACACTAAATTGTTTATCTGATGGCAGATAAACAATTTAGTGCTGCTGCCCGCATGATGCATGAATCTGTCAGCAGTTCAACGTTTATCTGGCAGCACATAAAGGATTTTTGCTGGTTTAGTACCATTTGTCTGCTAACAATGACTAATTCCTCCATTCCCACCAAGCGTTGTTTTCCCCGTGATTTTCGCTTTTGTTCGCAGAAAGGATGTCTTCGCAACCCTAGGATTAGCCAGTGGAAGGGAGGGTGATCGAATCGAGACCCCGTCTTCGATGGGGGCATATTTAGAAGAAGTCTATCACTACGCGATGGCGTGCCCTGGTGGGCGCGCATTGTGGTGAAGGAAGAGAATGTATCTTGTTTTCGTTGCATTGTTTTTCACGCTGAAGTGCAAAGAAAGACTCAGAAGGTAACTTCCAGCAGCGGAGGGAGACATACGAAATCGACCGTGTATTAGTGAAAAGATCGAGATGATCGCCACTTTGGGCAAACAGAGCCATAATTCTTCCCAAGAAAGCAATGGTAAGAGTTGAGCGGAGGATCCGGTCGTGAAAAAAGGTCTGAAAAAAGATCGCTTGGATCTATAAATACTGAAGGCTGGGCCCAGACCCACATGTGCCAGTACAGCAGAGCTGGATCCGTGCAGCACAGGTCATCCTACAAAGTGCAAAGAAGTTTCTGAGAGTGACCTAAGGCTGGACCATAAGAGCCAAGGCAGCGTACTTTTGGGACGAGAAAGTACAGCGAATCGTGGATTAGAAGAACGAAGCCTACAAACGTGGCAAAAGACAATGAGCCTAGAAAACCTCGCTGTCTGCAAGCGACCGCGATGGCAGCCGTTACCAAGGCCAAGAGATGGACTCCTTGTATGAGGAGTCCATCGCTTGGCCTTGGTAAGGGCTGAAAGGCTAAGAGGGGACAAGCTCGTCTTCCACCCGGCCAAAGCCAATTATCGCGCTACCTAAGACATCAGGGCAGAAAAAACAGTGAAGAGCAGCAACGGTTCCTTTTCAAGAAAACCGGTCGAGGTCGAAGAGGGAGGTGGGAAGACTACTTCGAGGGATTCCTGAACAATGAATTTCTCCGCTAGGACAGCACACAGAACTTGTGACGGCCTGAAAAAGTCCTCGCTTTTGCAGTTTGCTGGCCGGGAGTTGTGAGACTTTGACAAACGCGGTTCTTCTTTTCTCGAAGTTGATGTTTCGGTTGTGGTTATGAGTTCGCGGGAAAGGAACTACGACTCAGGTTTCCATGATCATTCCAAATTTGCAGAGGCACCTTCCGACTTACTCACTCGTGTACTTCATTCGACTCAAAGGTCCGAATGCGGAATTTAGTCATTCTCAAAGTGGACACATGCAACTCAAATCGTACGTTGTCGATGAACGATAGCTTTGTGCTATAGTCGAGAAGGTCCGGATTACAACTCAACTGCATATTGTAAGGTCCACTGCTGGGAATTCTCCCGTGTGCGTACGTAGACCGTTATTTTCTGTGAGGGCTTTTCTTTCTTTTCTTTTGTTCTTTTCTTTTTTCCTTTACTTTTATAGTGATGACGAGGCCGCTGAAGTTTCACTGGTGGCCCCGTCTTCCTTTTCGATGATGATTCAACTGAAAGTAAAATCTTCTCGAAGTTTCGATTGAACCAAAATGGACTTCCTATGAACTTCTTCTTCTTTTTCAAGAATTTTCGTTGAAGACGATCTGGGAACTTCGCTAAGACTTGGATCGAAAGCATATGTACATCTAGCAGGACAGAATTTGGCACCTCTAAGCAAGAGCTGCGTGGCGCCTTCCACGTAGCGTACCCTTATAGCACCCTAACAAGCTGCAAAATACCGACCCGGACGCCTGCACACAAATGTCCGACCTCTGCTGATGCTCATATCGCTCCATTTGCAGAGTACCATATGAACGAAGAGAGTGATATGAAGCGGTCGCGGTGCGACATGGATATAGCACATATATGCGGACCTACCGTAGCGATTACTAGCGCGATGCCAGTGGGGAAACTCCTCCATAACTGCTTTCTGAGTCGTGCAGAACAAATTTTTTTGCAGATTTTCGATCGTTTCACTTCGCTTTTTAGCCATTTTCCCCACAATATAGCGTCCCTGGTATCATTTCAGACCGACTGATAGGTTGTCGTGCCTTATGCCTTTGAAGACAGTCCCCGCGCTCGAGCATTTCGTGAGGGTCCTCCCTTATATACGTTGTCTGGCCCTCAGTTTCTTAGACTGCCCACTTTACGTCTCCAAAGTAAGTAAGAAGGGGTTGTGGCCCTCATGAATGGCACTTCTGACGGCTTCCCAGTTGTGCCGCCCACCACAACTTAACAGCTATTCTCCGTTACAAGTTCATTCTTATACAATGTTTTTCTTTTTTTTCACTGCTAGATGGTATTAGCACTGGATGACGTTTAAAAACGATTAGCGAGCGAGGGGCGGCAACTTTGCTGGCACAAAAGGAGCAGCTCCGGAGAACTGGCACAGCCTGGTCCTTACTTAGGATGTTCTCCATGATTTTTTTTTGTGTTTTCCTCCCTGAGAAAGTCATTTGGCGAAGAGTTTGTAACTGTACGACACCACCCATGATGCACAATATCGAGGTTCGTCTTTAACCTCTAGTAGTCCTGTAACCTGATATTTGCTATGCGTGATCGTTAGGCTTAAATACTACCGCCAGCATCTAATAAGTTAGAGCTGGGGACGGTGGTGGGGGGAGGGAGTACAGCGCAGCTTTCTGCGCTTGTCAGCACTCTTCCCGCAAAAGTAACACCTTCCTCTACTGAGGCTGAGCCCAGCTGTTCTTTTCCTGAGCCGATCCTTCGCAGAGGGCTCCGGTCCAGGAAAGGAAAGTAAACTCGCTATTAAGATGCCGATTTACGTCGTTTTCATCAATTTTGGTGGGGAAGGTGGTGTGCCGTAATGGCGCCTAATGGCACTAAATGGCACCACCTCCAAAAGCGAACGTCATATTCACGATTATGGCTTCGAATCACTCCTATAGTCGAGGTTTCAGCAAAAAAATTTTGTCTTTCTTGGGTAGGGATACTTCAGTAATGTCCACTTCTCTTGTGGAGGACGAAAAGCCCGAAGTTACGAATGTAGAATGGTGAGACCAGTTGTATCAGCGACTACATTGAGAATGCTACAGGAACATTTATTCATGATGTTAATGATGTTTCTTCTCCAGAACGAGCCTCCTCCTCCTTTACCTATTGTGATTTGTCCGACTGAAATTGATAATATTAACATAACGTTGGAAAAAAATCAACAGTGTGCATGCAAAGTGAGTATTATCACCTTTCGTTTTTCTGCGATTTTTCTGAATGTATCTTCTTCCTTCGCAATAAAAGGTTGTATTGAGGACTGTGGAAAGTTGTTCAATTCTGTATGGTACCTGAAACAGCATGCTGTCAAGCACTCAAATGATCGCCCATTCAAATGCAAATTCTGTTTTAAGGTGAGGATCTCGTGTTAACTGCGAGCAGTTATCTTTTGATTGTTCTCTTTGGTACCAACGAGGTTGTTGGGTTGAACTTTTGTTAACGGCTTCATGTTTTTTTTCTGCCAAATCCTCGTTCGCAGGGGCTCACCACAGCACAAGCGGGGAAACGCCGCTCTATTAGTTTTTGGTGTGCTATATTGTACATCCTTTATCATTTATACCATTTTCACTTTTGATGCAGTTTCTTTAAGTCAAATCCAACACATTTCAAACGAAATTTACCACTTTTCAAACCTAAGACCACTTTTCAAACCGAATCAACGACCTTTTAATTGAACTCACCGCACCCTTCACGCGGGACCATCAATTAACCAGATCAAACTATATCCTGCTGCAAGCTCCGCCCTGCGAGCCACGCCCACTTTCCAGCCCAGTCATATTTTTTCGAACTTTATTTCATAACTTCGCTCTTGTGGTTTTTGTGCACTTTTGCTTTTTCGAAAATGCACACTCACTGAAAAGGTTGGTCTACCGACATATAGGCGACTTCACCTACTTTTTCTGAAAGTTGTTGCAAATATTGAACTTTTTCTTCATTTCGGACTTCTTTCAATGCCATCGTTTTTGCACCCTCCCTTAACACATTAGATGAACTCATGGACACGTATTGATTTACTGTCACTCAGCCCACACGCGCTCTTTGAAAAGTTTTGCGATTTTTTGCAGAATTTTAGTGCTCGTTCACACTTGTCACCTTTCTGGGCTCCACCTAAGCTCCATTCAGTGGGAAACCGGACCAAGACCGCGCGAGTGGTAAGCCCCGCTTGTCACTACACCACCTCCGCCTCCTCCGAGAAATGAACTCATATAATTGTAAAAGTGCGTTCTCGTAGGAGAAAGATCTGGTGTGTAAGATGGGTTTTAGGAACTTCATGGCCCAAATTAGGTTGTCTAAGGGTCTTTACGTACAAATGGTCCAACGTCTCCTCTTTTCGCGAAACACTGGATTTGTGTTCAAGATGGAGACTGATTATCAACGACAGTTTCCGCGTCAAGTATCCGCAAAATTCCTGCGCGCATTTGGCATCCAGGTACGCACTCGCATAGCGTGTACCACATTCGTCTCTCGATAGGGCAAGATGATGCGGCTAAAAACGCGTGACTTTTGTAAGCTTTACTATTTTCAGTCTGCGAAATAACTACTTTCACAGCGATTATGCGTATGTGTTTTATTGCCTGCAGCGTCGTAGGACCTTTTCATGGGCTCGGCGGCGGAGAGAATGTTGGCTTATCGACTCTTGCGCTCACGAGCTCTGCTTTCCATCATATCATTTTGAAAAAGTAAATCAGTAGCACTTTGCAAGGGAAGATGCATTTAGGCGCTGCCCAGATTCATCAGTGATGCAATCGCGTCAGTGCAAAAACTCGTCATTGCTCGCCGTAGTCCTAAATACAGTTCTCGATATCTATTTTTTTATTCCACTTTTTTTTCTGGTATTAAGTGGCATAGTATTGGTAGAAGTGGAGAAACGATTTCTGAGCCTAGATGCGGAGAAACGATTTCTGAGCCAGGGGCTGCACTTACAAGGAATGGATGGTTGGTCGAAGTGGTCATTTAAAACAAGATGCACACTCACTGATGCGCCTTCGGACGCTGATTTCAAATCTGCTTTCCATATCTGCTGAACGATTATCTGAGCAGAGATATGCAGGAGGTTGTTGTACGGAGCACAATTGAGCTTGGTGCACAAATGAGACGTGAGTCGCTACACAGTGTGCCACGGTAGCCTAGTGGATAGTATGCCGGGCTCAAGTAAACGAGGTCAGAGGGTCGAGTCCTTGACGAACGTACTCTTTTGCATTGTTTCAGCAGTGCTCTCTGGAAGTTTTTAACACAGCCTAGCATGATCAGGGAACCTTGCCATGCCATGAATAGGGCTTTTCTTGGAAAACTGAACCATTCCCGCCTGTGAAACTTCTAATGATTTATGTGTCAAATTCAAAACGGTTCGCGTCCTTCCTGGAGCTGGCTCTGCATTTTCTCAGAAATGCTCCCTGCACATCCTAAAAGCACTTTTGCGGGGTTGGGAGACCTGATCTTACCAAAAAATGTTGTTTCTGAAGGAATGGAGCCATTCTGGAACACTCCTGAAGGATACTCTTGATTGTTGGTTTTGGCGGCATTATTCGTTACTTTGTGTTGTGCCACCAAACTGATTCCAAATGGCATGGAAGCCAGAAGTGAATGTCATGTTTGTGATCAGGGCCGTCAGTAACCAATGATGACTGGGGTTCAGCGGAAAAGTTGCTTGGCTCACAGAGATTTTGATCGGCGTTAGTGCCAGCGACCTTGAGGAATTCGTTGCCCATGGTTACCCCACTGTGTCGAAAATAGGTCGAAATCTCAGATTTGCTTGGAAACTTGTCTCTAGGGCTAATTAGCCCCAAAACACGAATATAACACTTGCTCGGCGTAAAAACGCTCGCCGGGACTTTCCTGCTCACCCTGCCCCTCCAGAATGTGAACAAGACATTTTTATGAAAAATACCTGCAGTGATGATTTCCAGAGCACCAGCCACCTCTAATTCCAGATTTTACCAAATTTGGGGGTTTTGGTGTGCCTCACATACATGCTGGGAATGGCTGTGACCTGGTCAAAAGTCCTGCATAACTTTGTCCAGGGAATCGTCCAGCAGAAATGGAGGGCAGATTTGTAATCAGTGTTTGAGGGCCCACCGGGCAGTATACATTCATTTCGAATGGCCACTTCGACCAACCATCCTTGCCTTGTTGGACCACAGGGTGTCGATTTGTCAGCAAGTTCGGAAAACTCGTACAATTAAGCTGTGTTACTATCATGGAATTGCTTTGTTCAAAGTGTTCTCAAGGTTCTTCTTGCTTAGTTCCCGACTCGGTAGTCTACTGGCTTCCGGTTCATATTTGAACACTCACTTCCCATGGCATTTGATCTGAGAGAAGAGATCCTAATGGAGACATAAGAGTGAGGTCATTCCACATGCAGGTGTTAAGAGGTGCCAAAGGACCTCATAGTTCTCTGAAGTACGCTTGCCGCACTACCATATCCTGTGCATTGACTAAGTTCTCTCGAAACGACGGCAGATGGAAAAATGCGCATGGTATGGTCTGCAATTCTACACCTTTGAGTCATGTTCGAGCTTTTGACAGCTACAAAATTGTCGAAAAAAACGACCAACTGAAGTTTTTCCCTGAAAACTTTGTAGTAGTAGCGCAACAGCAAACCAACCTGCAGTAGTTCCTAGTAATCTCTATATATCTATCTATTTATCTATCTATCTCTGAGTATCTCATCATTGAGTACTTCTTTCCGTCGTGAAGGGTCTGTTGAGCTTGATTTGACAGAATAAGAAAATATGGTTCAAGTAAATTTGGTTTGAAGAAGTTGGATTTGAAGTGAAAATTGTATATTCTCTCACTGCGGGTCATTTCATTCAGACACGTTGACACACATAAAGGAATTACAGGATAGTGGGTGGAGATGTTGCATGTCGCTGCATATCCGCGAAATTTGACCAGCATGTCCCTTTCAACACCTAACCGCCATGGTACGGTTGAGGAGCGTTGATCCAGCGCACGGATGAGGAGAAGCCGTACGCTAGCTGAGCATTTGAATATACGGAAACAAATAGGCGCGACGAAGCCAAGCGAAACCGACAAAGCCTGGAAGCCTGGTGTTCGGGAAGTCGCGCCGGCGTCAGTCATCGATACAGCTGTATCAAATGTACCTAAGACGAAATGTTCAAGAGTATATCGGCTTGTGCACAAAAACCCAGTGGAAATAGGTATCTTGTGCTTGAGAACACGCTTCACCCACTCGGGTAAAGTCTCAACACACCACGGACATGCTCAGCTCTCGCTATGTATGTCGTATGTCTCCCTTCTTCAACGATTTTTGCTCTCGAAACAGCTTGTCCATTTTTGTGATGTCTACCCCATTTCGTCCGCTTACTTCTTGTGGACCTCAATCCCCTTGTTCCCGGTGCCCGCTGATCTGCAACTAATTCATGAATTTTGACCTTCGACCGCCCACAACGACTCAGCTCCGCACAAAACGGGCGCGTGAATCCCAAGTCAATAGCGGAGGTCCTGCACATCTTTGCTCGCCTTTTGCAGGTATCTTCTCCAAGGTTTTTCCTCTCGAAGCAGCTTGCCCATTTTCGTAGTGAAACTATTTGACAGATTTCTGCGTTTGGCTCCGCAGTGGTTCTCCTAACCGCTGTTCTAGCAGTGTCTGGAGTGCTCTGGAACTGTTTCACATTGTTTCTGTCTGAGTCCGCCCACCTCGGAGCAATCCCCGCTCACAATGCCTGTGCCCCACTTTCCTCACTAGCGGTCCTTTGTTGACCTCAATCTACTTTTTTTCCCGTCTTTTGAGTGCTGTGGAACCTTTTTACAGACCTTTATGTCCGGCTCCACTCTTTGGAGCAGTCCTCGCCCACAACATGTGTGCCCCACTTTCCTGATCGGCGACCCTTCGCTGACCTTGATCTACTTTTTCCGGTGTTTGGAATACTCTGGAAACGTTTTACAGAATTTTTTGTCGGGCTCCGCCCACTACGGGGAGGCGCCGTCTACAACATGTGGGCCCCACATTTCCTAACCGGCGACTCTTTGCTGACCATAATCCACTTTTTTCCGGTTGCTGGAGTGCTCTGGAATCACGCTACAAATTTTTGAAATGGGCACCCCATGACTGAGAGCAAGCTCCGCAAACCGTGGACGGGTCTCAACCCATTCCAGGCAAGCGAAACTCGTCCCACATGTTGCCCTCCTACATCGTTTTTTTTGCGATATCTAAACTCTTCTAAACTCTCTCGAGAAGCGAATTAATAGTTTTTGTGGGAAGCACCGCCCATCTGAAGTACGCCCATTTCGGGTATATCTCCCCTTATTAGTCTGACACCCCTTGCTAACTCTATTCCACTTTTTCCTAATCTCTTTGCTGCCGCTGGAAGCGAGTTATGTAGTTTTTTTTCTTGCGGCACCGCCAATT